CCCAGCCCCCCAAAACCCCCGTCATGTGGCAAGGTCAAATTAAAGGTGTGTTCAGCAGCAGTATTTGCTGTTATTCTTCTACATCTCAAATTAAACGTAAGACAGTATAAATGGGTGTTCCTTCTACCAAACCACTTCTATTGGAGCCTGGACTAATGTTTTATGGGGACAAATTATGTGAATTATGGTGGGCTTCATAAGTCACTGTACCCCCAACAGCTGGGCCTGGGAAGGCAACAAATACCTTGATCTCAGCCCCCTATACACACGTGTGCTTTCTTGTTACCTTTTTCACTGAGCAGATGTTTAGCTCCTATGAAAGAAGAACTAGTTTCCTCACCCCCTTCAAAGCTTTACAGACAACTTTCTCAAAAATTTTCACTGAAGTTTTTCTTTTGTTGTCCCATCTAGAAAATTTCAGAACTTGCAAAAGATCATCCAACTGAAAAGGGCCCAAAATTTTTATCAGCTTCCTGCTAATCTGAAAATACTGCAGACCAACAAATGCCAAAGCGTACCTGTTACAAATGTTTTTCATTAGTAATGATCTTTAAATAGCATAGTGATAACATAATTTCAGTGTTTTCACAAGGCTTTTAAGCGTCTTATCGATGATCTTTGAAGCTGCTCAATTAGCCATGTAATCTGTACAGTGAATACACTGAAGATGATAGTCTGAAGAGTTTTCTTCAGCTGATTTCACGGTCATGGATTTCTTAATCTTTTTCAATACAATTACGGACAAAGTAGTCTATGGTCTGTTTTCATGTATCTGACATGAAAGCAAGTTTTCAGAACCACATCTGTGTTGTGGTCCTGAAAATGGAGCGGCACAACTCAGCTTTTTCTTTAATACTTCATGTGGAAAAGTGAATCAAGAATTACTGTGTCATTGGCATGCAACATTAATTCACTAATACGACTTTTTATGATACAATGCATGCCTGTTCCAGTGAGTACTATTCTGAACGGTAGCCACTTAGCTGTCAAAATTTTGGCAGCAGCTCTAGAAAATACTGCAAAATAGAATAGCTGTAGGAAGGAAGACTGCAGTGTGAAGGAACAGGATCTCGTGCATTGAAAGAAACTACCTCTCAGCTAATGAAAAGAATTTGCCATTTGTAGTGTATTTATATCTTGCAGAATTTTAAGGTGTCGTGTCTGTAAAACCATCCTTCCATTCTGCTGTCCAGTAATTTGGCACAGTCTGAAAGAGAGAGATGTGGTCTCTACTTGCATAGGCAGAAGCAACTGAGGAGTAGTTGCTGGTCCTCTGATGCTTGGCTGTGAAAAGTAAGATAAAAATCTATTACACATAGAAACTGTTTGTTTTGTTGGTCCTTCTGTTTTTTCAGTGGGACCAATACATTTTAAAAGTATCCAAAAATATAGCAGGTGTCTCATTTATACAAAAGCAAGATGCCACCAAATATTTTGCAGTTGAACTTTAGATGAAATTTTTCCTGGCATTTGACAGCAAACTAAATAGGAAAAGATTTTTAAAGAGGATCTGGTAAGGCTAGTGCTCTTGCAAATGTTAGGATGAGTCAATTTTTTCATAGCACACAATATATTAAGTCAATTTCTAACTTTTCTTTCAAACATGAGAGATGTTAAAGAAATGGCAACAATAATGTTTCTGAGGTATATTCACTTCTTGATGCATCTGTTAAAGTGTGTGAATATACTTTAAATTTTATTTATCTGTGGAGTTGGCAGTTTCCTTATTTCCTTACTGAAGAAAAGGATATAAAATATCACCTGAGTTGGTTAGGGCAGTTCCTTGTTTAGTGACGAGAGCTACTTTGGAGACAAGCTGGCTATAATGAGAGGTTTGAGTGTTGGTGCCTCCCATAGCATTCCTCAAGTTATAGGTGCAGTTGTAAAAAAAATTTCTTGACCTTGGGTTTTTTCTTAGGTTATTGTTGCCCACCTTTTACCGGTTGCTCACGGTGGTCATATTACTTCTGTCAGTCGTAAGGAATTTTCAGGTAATTTTTGTTGTGCTCTTTAGACGATCCACAGTAGATACTCTCAAGCTTTACGGGGTCTTTAGAAGCACTGAGCCTGGCAGGTGAAGATAAAGAGCTTACATGGCATAATACCCTATGGGAAGCCACAGCAGAAAGTAGACGGGCTTGTTGTGCTGCGGGGATCGGGTGCTCCTGAGGCCTGCTCTGTATCAGCCCAGCTTTCTGAAGAGCTGGGGGTGCTGTGCCCAGGTACGGTCCAAATATGATGCGAACCACAGTGCTCCAGACGTGCTCCCTCTCTAAGACACTTAGAAACAGTTCTGATGTTGCGAACCAGAGACATGTTTTTATCCTAGGTTTGAAAATGCATCATTTCATTACAAAATAACTTCTGTTTATCAATGTAACTAATATTTGTTTATTTTGCCACATTTCATAAAGCTTTGGTAACTTGTGTTTTACTAAATTATATCCTTAATTTTGGAAACTCCTGCATAAGTGCATCTCTCAAAGAACTAGTGTTGGTGGTATTTTGTGGGTTGTTTTGTTTGTTTGGTTGTTTTTTTCCAAATATTCTAGTCTTTTTTTTTTTTCCTAGCACGTGACAGAGCTGCAGAAGGCGTTATGAGTAGAAGCTGAGCAATGTACAATCTGCTAAGTGTTGTTGTCTTATTTTGCTGTATTTGGACTGTGAGGAAGTGAGAAGCTTAGTCCTGCCAGGAAAACAAAAAATCCTAAAAGGCTGAGAACGGTTTCTTATTTATTTGCTTACCTCAAGAAAACTGTGATGACGATGGAGTCTAAAAAGACTGAGAGAACCCACAGACTGCAAAATGCATTTGGTTCCTGGCCAAGTGCTTATGTCCACTCTGCGGAGGATGAACCTCCAGAGCAGCCTGGCTGTGGATGCTCCACGTAGCAGTTGGTCACGGGTCTCCTGTAGGATCCCGCGGCCTGGAGATGCGGTTGCTTAGTTGTGGTTTCCTCAGACACTCTGAGTCTGGGTCAAAAAGTGACTGTTACACTGCAATTGCCAGGGTTTGTATCCGAGGAACTGTCATAAGGGAGCTGCATGTGCTGTTTATAAAGATAAGACAATAAGGGAATTAAGCTTGGTAACTTACCTATTCCAAAAGCTAAGTGAAGACACGTGAACTTAAGAAAAGTGCATTTCTGAGAGGATACCAGATTGAGCAGTTTGTTTATCTAGTGTTGTGTTATCAATACCCTTAACACTGCAGTCTTTGGACTTCATGGATTTTAGTTTGCTTTAATACTCTCATAATTGAGTTGCTTTTCCCCCACCCTTGAATTTGAGGTGTAAGGTAATAAATCCTCTTCCTTTGGTAGGCATCTTGGTAAGCACATACAGAAGTGATGTGGAGTACTAGGCACTGCCATGGTATGTTATACTCGGCCACTATCTGTAATGAAAATAGTCCACTAATACGTGCTTTACAGTTTCAGCATTTATTTTGTCTGTGCCTCAGAGGTCTTACTCCAGTTTTATCTCAGAAGTTGAGAGTCTTAACTGTTACAGCCCATGGCATCAGTTTATAAAGTGATGATTTTAAAGAAATCTAATGTAGTGGAACTTACTCATTAAATAATTAAGGATGCTATGAGGATTTTGAGGGAGAACAATTCTTTTGTCTATGTTTCAGAATTTGTGTGAATACTTTTTTTTTAAGGTAGTTTTTACTGCTAGATAACATTCTTCTGAAAAAATCTGATTCCCACACTGTTCTGGGTATTGTATGGTTTGTACGCTTTAACTGGAAGGAACTGAACATGAAATCATTATGCTTTGGAACTGTTGATACAGCTTTTTACCTACTTTTTCTTTAAAAAAAAACCCTAATGTTATTTTAGCTGCTACTACTTTTTAGATCCAAGAACGAATATTGTTTTATTGTAGTCTGTTGTCATTCAACACATGCGTTATAGGTGCATTTATGCCATCTCTGCATATTTATTTCAGTGCAATGCGTGTATTGTTGTCCAAGTTACCACGACCATGGATTGTTGATGAGAAAAAAGATGATGGTTACACTGCCTTGCATCTGGCAGCTCTCAATAATCATGTGGAAGTGGCTGAACTTTTGGTGCATCAGGTAGGACTCTTTTCTCAGAAGGATTTAAATGTCACACTTAGTTAACCATCTGATGTGAAAATAGTTTGCTGCTTTACGCCTGCAATCGCAATGCAGAAGCAATGGAGCAGGGAGGGACATGTGGGGAGCTCTAAAGGTCAAACTCGCCTTTGAGATCATTACGATGGCCTAATAATGCGGAGAGATTGAAAAATTTGATACCTAGTTTGATTCAACAGATCAACATCTTTACAGTAAATAATTAAAGTATTTAATCACTTCTGCTTTCAAATCTCCAAACTAGGAATCATATTCAGGGCTGTATTCAGTGCCCTAACGGACTGCCTTGCCTGTAGGTGAATTACTGGGATGATAATTCTCTAGTGCTTTGAATATCTTCTAGGGCAATGCTAACCTGGATATCCAAAATGTTAACCAGCAAACTGCTCTGCACCTTGCCGTTGAACGACAGCATACACAAATTGTTAGGGTAAGTATCTTACTTGCAATAAACCATATGGTTAATGGTACTTGACTTTAGCTGGTTGTAGCTGTTAAGGCATGGGTACTTCATGAACCTTTAAAGAATGATTTAACCCCATGTAGCCATTGAATGTTTGTATGATTAATTTTGATCAATTCAGAAACCTGCCAGCTTGCACAGGAAGTCAGTCGGCAACATGAAGGACATTTCAGGAATGCTGAATTTTTATACATGTACGTTATGGTTTCCTCTATGCAGTTGCCAATTCCAGCATCTCTCCTTGGAGTAAGGGAGAATGTGTTTCTCTGTTACTTCTCTGAGTCTTGTGGTCCTGTAATGGGACCTTCAAATAGCATTTTTGATGCCTCGTTGTGTATGAGTTGTTATTCTTGCTCGTAGCTTTTGCAAATTTTAGCTAAGTGAAACATCTTTTTACAAATGTACTTTTCAGTCTTCTGAGTATGTGACTTTCCCTGTTCTTAGCTTGGGAGAGCTATAAGCAGTAACAGAGATGTCTTACCAATGAAACTAATGCTGTTTCTGTTTTTTGCTTGCATGGTTGCAAATGTTAATACTTCAATTTAACAAAACTTTGTTGTTGGCACAGGAAACGGGAGTCTGGCACAGCTTGCCCCTTCTGGCCTGTGTGCACTGTCCATACGGGACCTATGTGACTGAGTGTTTGGATTGATAGCGTGGGCTGTTGAGGCTCAGAGAGAGTGCTCACTGCCATAGGAGATGTTCCCTATGAGTGAATACATCAACCTGGCCTTGGCCCACTGCGTAATTTTTTTTTAAATTTGTCTTTTGTAGAGTGAGAGTCATCTTGTTCTAAAAACTGTCACTTACTCAGGCCTACAGAGAATTGTCCCCCCTGCACAGACGTATAGCTGCAGTTCTGTGTAGCGTTATTTTGCCATAAGGTTTCTCCATCTCCAAGGGCTGATGGATGTGATCCCATTACAGTGAAACATGTGATATGGCCCTAAATCTGGAACTGCTTGCTACCAAAAGAATGGTTTCCTAGAGTCAGTGTCACTTGCATCCTGCAAGCTATTTGGCAGCTATATTTGGTGAGTTCTTGTGCCCTTCTGGAACCGACCCGGTACCTGGGAATACAATACCCATGTAGCAGATGAGCAGGAAGGTAGGCATGTAGAAGAACTAGTATGTGTATTGGACTGACGTGCTTATATCTGAGAATGTTTTAAGTGAATGACCCTGTAGAGTATCCATACTTCAGAGTTGGGTTAACTTTGAGAAGTCCTAAAATAACTCATGCAGCCATGCAGAGAACATGTTGGCTCTGTATTTCAAAATTAATTCCTACTGGGTACCTTCCAGGCCTGGGTTGTACCCTCAGGCATCCGTGGAATAGTGGTCAAAGGTAGCAGGGTTCTTTTAAAAGCCCTGCTGCCATGACAAAGGGTGGTGGTTTGCTTTTTTAATTTTTTTTTTAAAACTTCTGCAAAGGCTTTGAATTTCTGTGGTAGCCAAGGATTCCAGGTTGTTCTGAAAAGAGTTCTCTTACAGATTTTCTTCCAGGAGAAACTCTTAAGCAGTAAATAGCTAGTAACAGACACCAGATATGAGAAAGAAGAATTGGACCAGAGTAAGTCTATTTAGAGAGTGTAAGAAGTTGAGGGGAGACTGTTGCAACTATTAGCTGGTTTTCCTGGTTTCACTTGTGGAAGAAAAGGTTGGGGAAAAATGGTAAGTTGCAGTCAGTTACAGGCAGGTATTACCTTGAAAATTAAGTTCTGAATTCCTTTTAAGTGATTTTCCTTTTAGCCTTTTCTAAAGTCTGAGATTCTTTGGTTCCCAGAGGCTGAGATCCTTGCAAGCCTGCGGGTTCTGAAGAGGAAGATCCCCCCCTTCATGTATTCCTGTTTCTAGGCTATGCCTTTTGTGTCTGCTGCTAATCTGAATTTTGCAAAGTAGCAAAAGCTCAAAACTAAAGTTAAAACCTCAGCTGCTATCTACAGGTTTCTGAATAGCGACAGTGACAGGGTGTAATTTTTAGAGGCAATTGTTTTTTGTCAGCCTGTGTTGATTTCCTTTGTTTAACAGTGTATTTAGGAAGGTTCTAGTGCAACAAATTATGGGAGGGCTGGATGGAAAGGCAATATGAATAGGAGGGCCTGTGCAGCCTTACGCTTGCTTTCGTGTCACCTGACCTGGAATGTGTGTCTAAAATTAGCCTTAAAGACGAGTATTACAGTTCATTACTTTCCAAATTGTTCTGAGATAGTATTTAGTAGCGTCATTGGTTTTTATGTCTTTTGCTGAATAAGGGTAAACCTAAGTACATGCTTAACTACTTTGCTAATGGGAGGATACTGTAAATTGAGTTGTAAAGTTTAGCATAGCGTGAAAGTGGTGATTTTTGAGGTCATTGAAACCTAATAGTAAAGAATATATACATATCTAAACTATTGCTCACTTGTTCTGTTTCTGATACGTTGCTGTAATACGTTACATTGTTTGTAGACCACGTTGTAAGAATTAAAAGATTTTGGACAGTAGAAAGAATCTCTAAAATAGCATCTCTTGCCGCACTCTCTCAGAGCATGGGCAAGCATTAGGCTTCTGCTGAAATAAGCTTGATATTTGAAAGAGAGAAATGCTTCAGTTGAGGGCTGAACTCCAATTATGAAAAATTTACATAAACTCATCTGTGAAGATTGAGTTTATATAAAGCATAACCCTTTTGGACCTCCTACAGCATCCTACACTGTAGTTTCCTGAAATTAGTTTTTAAAGAAATAAATAGCTTTTTTTTGAGTTTTAAATTGGGTTCTTTCTCTTTTCAGCTCTTAGTCCGTGCAGGTGCTAAGCTGGATATTCAGGATAAAGATGGGGATACTCCCCTGCATGAAGCCCTGAGACACCACACCCTGTCACAGCTCCGCCAACTCCAAGACATGCAAGATGTGGGCAAGGTAGATACTGCTTGGGAGCCATCAAAGAACACAGTAAATAAAATGCATTTATTTATTCCTTTTCTTTTCCTGTACATTTGTCTCTTTATTTGTCTAGTTCTGTACTGTTGAACTGGTTTTTGGCAGCATAAGTACATGTAGATGTTCTGCATTAAGCTGCAGTGTAGGCAGAAATCATATTGTGGCTTTTCACATGTAGTCATTGTCTTTGTTAAAGAAAAATAGTGTTACTGAGTTCAAAATATTTTTACAAACCTGTCTTCCATAGTGAACATGTATGCCTGCCAAAAAATCAAAAGTAGCTTTTTAGGAAAAAGAAATAAACAGTATTACAGTACAGAATAAGACTAAGATTGTTTTCTGTGATTCAGCATCTGGCATGTCTTTGTAGCTTCAATTGTTTAACTGATTCTATAACCTGAAAGTTTTTTCCATTAGAAGGCAGCATTCTTAATCTTATGTTTATTGTTATGTATCTTTCTGACAGAGTTCATTTCAGAAATTGTGCTGTAGTAAGGAAGTAGTCAAAGAAACTCCAGGTAATAAAGGTCAAAATATTTTATTGAAAAAAGAAACGCTCACGCCCAAAAAGCTGTGTGAACCCCATATGCAAAGGTGAAGTTTATAGTTTTGCTGATAGGTGAAGGAGAAATAAAATTCTGGAGTGATTGGGATTGAGAGAAACAAACAATTTTTTTCTTTAAATATTAAAGATGCACAACGTAAGTGGATCAGATTTACTGAATCATTAACTACCACTGTCATAATGTTTTTTTCTAATTTTAACTGTGGGTGGTAAGTTTTTTTGCATTTCATTCAAACTCCACCAACTTTATTAAAAGGCTTTATTAAAAAGCCTTTGTTCAAAACAGTAATTCCACTGTACAATAAATGTTTTTCAGACTGGTTACTTAATCTCACTGAAATACACTGGAATAAGCTTTGAAGAGAGATATAAAATATGACTGGCATATATAAGAGAATGGTTGTGTCCTTTTGAGAGGAGGAAAGCAATTACAGCTCATTTGTTTCCATGATCTGAAATGGACTCTGTAAGAGGTGGCCAAAATACTTTGTGTGCATGTATCTAGGTATGAAATGAATGAACGGGAGATAAGTAGTTTTTCTCTGATTCAGCATTTCATAAATGGGTTTCTCTGTTACCCATGTTATTAGTGGGATCCACAATCTGGGGTTTTTTTGATTAATTTTTATTAATTCCTTTAAAGACTGGGAAACTTGTAAGATTCCTTTAGTCTGTGTGATAGCAAATCTGATACGTAAATCTTTAGTATTTTAGAGTTCATTTTTGCTTGATGAAATTTTAATTAACTTTGGACTGCTGTCTTGAAGATACCAACCTACTGAGCCCTGTAGGGTGCCTCTTTATAGTATAGTTCTTCAATAAATAATGATTTCTATTTTTTTTTCAGTTGAATAGACTGAAAAAGAATAAAAATTTCACTAGCAGGATTTTAGTTGTTTTTCCTATTTGGTAAAGTTGGTTGGACAGCAAATTCATTGAAATTCTGCCATTTGTTACTCTTTGAGCATGGTTTAAAATATGAAACAATACTACTTACTGATACTGTGAACTTATTTCACAAGTGGAATTATATGGAGTGAATTCTTTAGCATTGATTTTTAGTAGTTCCTTCTGAATGTCAACATTAAGCTGTTGTAATACCTAAAGCAATTTTTGTCAGGTTTCTTCAGTGTTGTTTTTTATAGACTATTTAAAATGCAGATAGTGAACAATCTTGATAGTACACAAAGCCCTACACATTTTTAGGTATCAATCTGAAAAACATTTCCGTGTTCAAGTGCTGTGAGTGGTTAACCCCATTTCTTTAAATAATTTTGAAGTTTTTCATCCAGCACACTGTGATAATTGTACAGCTGGGAGGAAGAGAAACAGGAGGTTTCCTGCAGCTGTACTAGGCACCAAGAGTTGGGGTTTTTTGTGCATGAGTTGTTGGGTTTTGGGGTTAATTTTTATTCTGTGTGCCTGAAATGTTACAGACTACCAGAGAAGTGTCATGGGATGCAGTATTGTCCTGGTGTTTCCAAAGTGTACAGCACATAGAGGCATTTTAGGACTTGGGGTTTTCTTGAATAATGCTGATGGCTGTTCCAAGTGGAGGAGCCCGCCTTGGCGTAGTGTGTATCCACATCACGTGAAGCAAACTATCTGTGTTTGGTTTTCTTCTTGGAGGCAAAATAGCTGTTTCATTCAGGAACAGCTTAGAACCCATAAGGTGCAAGTGTGGAGGGCAAGAGCACTCTTGTCCCAGCAAATAAGGACGGACTGCAGCAAATTGTTCGGTGTAGGCATGCCTTCAAAAAAGGCTACTCTGCCAACCTCAGAGCAAATAAGCTTTGACTGGGCTTTGTGCTACCTTGGCTGGATTACTGTCATAGTTCCAAAGTACCCAGTTTGAAGCTGGATAAAAATCTCTGCTTCACTTCAGCCAATGCTATAATTGAGGTGCAGAAAAACAGTCTGAATTTATAAACAAAAATGTTCTGTGATCCGAACACCACAAAACAATTTCTCTCTCTAACTTACTGGTTTTCCTGGTATGAAGTCTTTCAAGCTGCACTGTTCTTACCTGATCATAGGGAAGAATGTAGGACTGTGAGTATCAATGAGTATCATGAAGTGACATTCAGGAGTCTCGTAGCACCTCAGTAATACTTCTTGATACAAGAACTCCTAACTAGAAAAAAAAAATAGACTGAGGTTTAAAAAAAATTGCTTCCCTAGGAAACTGGATGGCTCTATGATGAGAAGGATAATCATGCAGTGATCAAGGCAGGGTAAAGACTTCTAATACATACTTCACGTGCTGCAAGACATGGACCCAAACAAGTGTCTCTCTTCACAAGTCACCTCTGAGGAATAAGGGAAATAACTAGAGTTTGAAAACTGTTTTCTTCGAAGTTCAGACTTCAGGATATGCAACCTTTAGGGCTGCAGTAGCAGTTATCTGGTATTTTAAATTTATTCCTGTATGCTGTTGTGTCTAAAATAGCACGTCTAGTTCTTTAAATATTAAATGGTTTTTAATCCAGCCAAAATTACCTAATTTTTAGGGGTGATACTTGACACCCAGCTTTTAGAAGACCAGCTGCAGGGATAGATTGTACTAACTGGAATTGGCATAGAAAGATGTGCATCAGTCAAGTTGGGCACTTAATTAATGGGAAAGAGGTACATACAAAATCCTGCCTCTATATTAGTGTCAAAGCCTTTATAATTCTGGAATTCAACATTTAAAGCTCCTTGAATTGGAGCTGCCCCAGCTGTGCCAAAGCTGTTCCTTTGAATATAGTTTGCTGAGGGATTCTTAGTGGTGCCAGCTGTTTCATGTTATATGTAATCTGCATTATACTTAATGCATTTTATCTGATCAAGCTTTAATACAAAAAGATGTTAGGAGCAGGCCCAGAATGCTCCAAAGTAGGGGAATCCTCTCCTTGCTTGGCTATGGTGATGAACCGTCTCTCTTCATTTTTCTAGCTGGCCCTCTGAATCTTGTGTAATAGGTACAGTAATACAGAAATACAGTAATAGTTGTAAAAGGGCAACGGAGCATTGCATGATTAGGACTGGAGAAGAGGTATGTGAGTTTAAATTCCTCCAGACCGAGAAGGCAGCTGAAATCAAGTCTTTCTTGGGCAGCTGCTTTGCTCACTAGACTAAAATGAAGTGTTCATTCATTTCTCTGCCCAACTGTCTTTTCAGTCCCAAGTGTGGTGGTGGTAGCATTTTGTCTGAACTCAGCAATTTCAGTATACTTTGAGTGTATTCTGAATATACCCACTGAGACTTTACCCTTTACAGTGCTTATAGAGAAGGACAGCCACTTCACAAGTGAGTGTAGGTGTGCAGGAGATTGAATGCATCAATAGCTGAATTTTAGTTCCTTAAAGGAAAGTTGAGTATAGCAGACTCAAAATTAAGCAACTGTACAGCTGGTTTGATTTTAGTTCTAGAGATGCTTCCTTGGCCTTACAGATTTATACACGCGCGTGTGTATGTGCATGTATGCATGTCAAGTAGTTTTCCTTCAGCCAGACTGTTCCGAACTGTTTAGAGAGTCTCTCAGGTTGCTTACATATTTGTTTTCTTTCAGCTAATAATGGGACTTGGCACTCAGGGAGCAGAGAAGAAGAGTGCAGCATCTATTGCCTGCTTCCTGGCAGCCAACGGAGCTGACCTCAGCATTCGTAATAAGAAAGGTCAATCTCCCCTCGATCTTTGCCCTGATCCTAGTCTCTGCAAAGCATTGGCTAAATGTCACAAAGAAAAAGTCAGGTTTGTATATTCATAAAATGTGCAGTTTCCAAATCTCTTGCTTTTTATAGATTAACTGATGTGTGTAAAACATTGTGCCATTATTAACAATAGTGTTAAAACATACAGGTTTTTTCTTGACTTTCAATGAATTCTTTATTTTCCATGGTACATTGAATGATAATTATAAATACATTAGTTGAAACTTACCCAAGTCTTACAGGACTTTCATATGTTAATATGGGAGGGAGGAGAATGGGAAGATGGCAACGTGCAGGTGGTGGTTGGTAGAACTTCTAACCGTCCCAGCAAAGAGGAGAAATCTTTGTCCGTGCAAGCTTTGAGGACTGGAATGGGCAAAGCCCAGTATAAGCTGATGTGAATTCAGTGTTGATACTGCTTTGAGCCCGATGACCTCCTGAGTACCTGTCAACTTGAATGATTGTATGATTCTGTAAAAGGATGAGGAGGGGATAGGTCTGATGTCTCAGAAGCACTTCTCTAGGAATTGTGATCTCAGTGAAATGTCATGTTATCGAGTGCATGCGTTATGAGAAGTTTCAACTTGCTACTTGCCCTAGTTGTGGTCCCACCATGGGCTTACATGATTCTCATCCTTAATTCCTGTATAGAAATCAAAAATGTACTTTCAAACTGTCACGAAGAGAGATTCTTTTTGTTGATGCTGCCCTGGTGTGTGAGGTGCCTATTTTCTTCAGAGTTTTTTAGTTTGGATCTGTCCACCTGTCTCAGCCTCATCCCTGTGGCTGTTCTTCCTCGCCACCTTTTAGGGGCTGGCGAGGGCTGTAGGAGTAAGCTGGCTGGGTTCAACACGCTCTCCCTCTGCTGGGTGAGCAGCAGCACAGGACAAAGATCTGAGGTGAATTTGCTGCAGGATTTCGGGGCATCTTAAACAAGTCTGTCATTTCCTATGTATTGGAAGTATATTCAAGATTAAGATGTTGAGCTGTACAGTTCTGAATCTACAAGGGTACATCTCTATTAATAAAGTAAACTCTTAGGATGGGAGGGAAGGGTTTTTTTACGTTCACGAGATGCTATTCTAACTTGTGTGGCCTGTTTCTGTACAACATCTTATCTGAGCGTGTGACCTTGCACTCTGGTGTTAACTGTATGTTTGGGAAAATGCAGTTCAAATTGCTTTATTATGCCTGAACGCGTAGAAGTATATAGATAAACAGCTGACTGATGTGCATTTTAAATTAAGAATTTTGAAAATTCTTAAAAGGAAGTTTAACTGCAAGGTTTCTTTGTAGTGGTCAGGTTGGTTCCCGAAGTCCATCTATGATCAACAATGATTCTGAAACCTTAGAAGAATGTATGGTGTGTTCAGACATGAAGAGAGATACTCTGTTCGGCCCATGTGGACACATTGCCACGTGTTCTCTGTGCTCACCACGGGTGAAAAAATGCCTCATCTGTAAAGAACAAGTTCAGTCTAGGACAAAGGTAAAATCTTCCAAAGTTTATTGGTTCTCTTTCTATTTTTAATGGAAAAGTAAAAAGAGAGTTTGAGGAAAAGTGTAGTGTATTTTAAGTAGTGTTTTGCATTACAGGTGTCTCACTGGGTGGAATTAATTTTGCATCGTAATGATATCTTGTCTCAACGTTGTCTGTTACTTTGATCTGTTTACCTGTACTCATGTCCTACCTGCCCCTCATTCTCTTCCCACCTTGCAATGTTTGTATTGTTCAGATCCTCAAGAGTTCCTAATACAGTCACCTGAGGATGCTTTTTTTAAATAGACTCCCACCTACCCCATGGTATTTTTTTTCCCATGTGAAGATAAATTACTGCTTTTTCTGAAGTATAATTTCCTTCAGTAATATTCAGTTCTTCTGAGTTCTTTTGTTCTTCAGGGCTGATTGGAAAGATGATTTGCCTGTAAACTGAGTTAGTTAATATGTGCTTGTTTTTGAAGTTAATAATTACTTTCAGCTTTTACCTTCTCTTTCTTTGGAATCATGAATTTCATTATGCTGTCTTTCTCCTTCAGAGTATCAACCAGTTGTGCCCTATTTTGGGGACCTAATCCCAGTAAGGTTTCCAATCGGAATTGTAAATATGAATTTGTACTGGTTTTACTATTCACTCTCTTATTCTTACTGCTGATACCGTTCGCTGTTCTGCAGTGCCTATTTTCAATGGCCAAATGTTAACATAGTGTGAGATCCTTTTCTCTAGGCTTTATTTGTAGTCAGTGAAGACGTTCTGCAACTGGGTGATTCACAGCAGCAAAGTAGCTTCTTTAGATGGATGAGTGGAAGTAGAAGCCTTAATATATGGAAATCAGCTTTCCCGGCTGAAAGCTAACCTTTGTGGATAACCTTCCTTTGATTTCTTTCGCTAAATTAGATAGAGTGGAATATCTGTTCAATACTTCTCTTATACTCTTCTGTATAAAAACTTAGAGTAATATCTGCAAGGCTAAGAAATGAATGAACCTGGACAGCAGTCCTATGAACTGGAAGAGGTGGTCCAGACCAGTATGAATGGAGTGGTATGTGGTGTCTATGGTCATACTATGTATATAGTTCACCACATTAAAGGGCTTGTTAAACCCTAACCCAGAATATTTAAACAGATTGCTATAAAAGTCTGTTGTAAGTGCATTTCATAGAATCATAGCATAGTTTGAGTTGGAAGGGAGTCCAGGCCTCCTGCCATGGGCAGGGACGTCTTCAACTTGATCAGGTTGCTCAGAGCCCTGTCCAACGTTTCCATGGATGGAGGATCTACTGCCTCTCTGGGCAACCTGTTCCAGTGTTTCACCACCCTCATTTAAAAAAATTTCTTCCTTATATCTAGTCTGAATCTACCCTCTTTTAGTTTAAAACCATTGCCCCTTGTCCTATTGCAACAGGCCTTACTAAAAAGTCTGTCCCATCTTTCTTATAAGGCCCCTTTAACTCCTGAAGGCTGCAATAAGGTCTCCCTGGAGCCTTCTCTTTTCCAGGCTGAACAATGCCAGTTTAAGTATATATCGTGGAACAAAGAAAGAGAAAAGAATAAAGAAAAAGAAACATATTCTGTCTCAGCTACTTCTCTGTGCCTATCAATGTACTGAACATATAAATATTGCCAGCAAATACCAGTCCTTAGAAGTCAGTGTGATAACTCATTTAAGTTAAATTTGAGGTGCTGAATTAGTTAAAATAACACTAGATGGAGTTTCTTAACGTCCACATGCCTTGCCAAAGAGAGCGTAGAAGCAAATTAATGTAGAGAGCAGGAGATAAACTTTTCTCATATGTGTGTTTATTGTTCTTTACAGATTGAAGAATGTGTAGTATGTTCAGACAAAAAGGCAGCAGTTCTTTTCCAGCCTTGTGGTCATATGTGTGCCTGTGAGAGTAAGTAAACTTGGCAGAAGTTCCTTTTGAAGTAACCTTGAAACAGAACATTTTTAGCCAGATTGCTAAAAGCTTGTTAGTAATCTGACTTCAGGTCCAATTTACTTGATAGACTGGTGTGATAGTCAGAATTTTGGCATTATTTGGCATGCTGCTAGTGAAATAATTAGAGGACAAACTGGAGTTTTTAAATTCAGAAAGCAGGTGCTCTTCCATCTGAATTATTTAATTGTGAGTAGGCTTACTCAGATTATAGAAGCCTGCTGTGTATCATTCAAACTTCTGAAGTAATTAGAATTAATTTTATTACTTTGCAACTTTTTGGGGACATTCAGATGTGCAAATGGTGTTTTTAAAGAGTATTGTAAATAAATATTTAATATGCTTTATTACCAATCTACAGATTTGCACAAGGGCTATATTTTTCCCTAAAAGACATATCGTATAGCTTTGCAAAGAGCACCAGTTATGATTCACTCTGATTTATTTCGTGTAGCAAAAAAAGACATAGGAGATCTCCAGAATTTTTTTTGTTTCTGAGAATATGTGGATGAGAATCATCAACAAGCCATCACCTTGTCACCAGACATTTCAGGACTTTGTTGAAGGGTCATTTGCCTAGAGAAGAGCAGTCCTTGTTGCTGACAATCTACATAAGAGGGAAGGTAATCATTCCCATAAGTAACCAGTTACTTGGTCTTGCTAAAGAAGTCTGGTTTCTTCATCTGTTCTGGCTGAGAGACCTGACGTTGAGTCACTGACTTTATAGTTATCCTCATCTGGCCTTTTTCACTGTCTGCAGTTGAAAGATGATGAGAGAAGTTGTCCGGGGTTTTTTTATTAATTTCTCAGGAAGAGGACAGCAAAAAGATTGATTGCTGTGGTGAAGAATTTCAGCAGTGTGGTACACATCACCAAGTCTAAGCTGTAACAAGGACAGCGAAAGCTTTAACAGATGTAGGTGATTTCTTTCCAGATTATTTTCTGGACATCTTGTTCAAGCAGGATGAGGGAGAGTCTTCAAATTTTTGTAGTTTATAGGACCCACTCTGCTGATTCACAGTAACCTTCAACATTTATGAGACATAATAATTTTCTTTTTGTAGAAGAATTACAGCCTCCTTTCTAGGATTGTATCAAAAGATACAGATTTACTCTTCTAAGGGTAAAGAGCCACACCTGTTTGCCCCTGGAGCATTAGGACAGTAAGTGAGATCCTTTGTTCTGAAAGAAAAAGCAGGTAGTCAGAACTTCCAATAATGTCTTGGTCTCAAATGTGTGTTATTTTACTTTCTTAATTTCTGTAGTTCTTGTGGAATGGACATCCATTTGGAGAAGAGGAAATTGCTTGAAATATGCTAATAGAAAATAAACAGAATAGGTTTACTTTGAATCCCAAACAATATATTGTTTATAGGTGTGATTTGCAGAAAATTATGTGAAGATGAACACAACTAATTATTTGTATTATAAGCATCTATTATGGCATTGCTATATAGCTACTGTGAATAAACAAGCTCATGGATAGGAAAGAAGAAAAATTAAATAGCAGAATTCAGAGTTGATTTATTTCTCTGTCCTCTCAGATTGTGCAAGCTTGATGAAGAAATGTGTACAGTGTCGGGCAGTGGTTGAGCGAAGAGTGCCTTTCATAATGTGCTGTGGAGGGAAAGGTACAGAAGATAGCACTGATGATATTTGTGAGTGACTCCAAAACCCATACTCTTTCACATTCCCCCCGCTAACTTCTTATTCTCACTCTTTTAAATGACCTAAATCTTTTAATAAAAACATTGTTAAGCCAAGTATCCATTTGCTCTTTGCACTGCTTTGTACATTGGTAGCAGCAAGTGTGGTGGTAGCACCAGTCGTTACACTAAAGGATTGTTTCCAGCATCCAGAGTAGAAGCCGAAACGTATATGACTTCTTCGCCACTTACTAATGTCCTATGAAGCAAATGCTAAAGATTGTGTGTAATTGTGCAAATGGGCAAATAAATGTTTATTGGTTTGGTGGTTTTTTTACTTTTGGAACTCTGACTGGTAAAGGAATGGTAAATATTTTCCTTCTAGGTACATCAACTTTCATGACAGATTGTTCAGTTTTACATCTCCTGCTTTGACTAGTTTTTAAACTTCCTGTGACCTCTCTGAATAATTTCTATGGATTATTTGTATTTACTCTGTGTGTGTGTGGTATGCCATGTTTGAATTGAGTTTATGTGAACTGGAATGTTGTCATACTGTTCCCAAATAGATAAATATAAGAATAATGCTTAAAATCAGGTTTTGAACAAACTACTTCTAAGACGCTTATGCAGTTTTGAACACCAAATAGAATTGGCTGTGTAGATAACAAGTCTCTTCAGTGTGGAAGGATTTGGATTTATTTTGCACACGTGCAAAAAAATTTACTGCAGGAGCTTCAATGGCAAATACGAACTCTGAGAACATTATGGAGCTGTAGGCATTTTGAGAATCATTATTGAGGAAATATTTGTCAAAGAACTCTTGCCACTAAACTCAAAGAAGTTCTTTATGAATTGGGCTGCAGTGGTGTTGTAGTGAATTTATTTAGATTATCAAATATGTTTGACTAACATTATTTCAGATAATTCAGAAATTATAGTTAGTACATTGGAAATAATTATTCCTGTTTAGTTAGATTGATGTATAATCACATACTTTATTTTCTCTAAATCACAGCAAGTGGAAACATTCCAGTTTTGCAGAAAGACAAAGACAACACCAATGTCAATGCGGATGTACAGAAACTGCAGCAACAGTTACAAGACATCAAGGAACAGGTAAAAGTGCTGGATAAAAATTTTATGGACCACTAAAGTAATTTAAAAAAGCCAATGTGTCTTCTGTTATTTAAAACAAGATGACATGTTAAAATGCTTTGGTTCTTAAATTTTAGTTAAATAACCAATATTTTTGTATGTGTTGTGGCTTGTATGTCCTCTCTGTACAGGTTTAAAAAAAAAAAATCAAGTGGCCATGTGTTTGATAATCCATCTATTAGAGCATCTGTGTTGGTGTGACTAAAAAAGGATGCTCTCTGCAGTCAGTATGTTCTCTACCTGTTTAGCTGACCTGAGTGTCTAGGTACAGCAGAAGCTGTTTTCACAGATCAATAATAAAGGTAGATACTCTTCACTGTTCTGTATCTACCTGAATCTTTACTTGCCTGTTCATGAACTGCTTTGGACAATGGCTGGCAGTTACCTGCCGTATGAAGGGCTATAGTTTGTGGACTCTTCAAAAAATTGTGTGGTTGGAAAGTTAAAACTTCTGAAAGTACTGTATGTGTAATTTGAATATTTGGAATGTAAATGATAAGGTTTGTCTTTTGTAATTATGCATAGTGTTTACAGGAGGAATAACTGACAGTTACCTACTTAAATTTGTTATGTCTGTAAGTCTAGTTCTATTAGAAGTGCTTAAGTAGTTGTTTACGTGCAGGTGTTAAATTATTTCCTTGCTTTTCCATCTGAACAAAGAAAAACATGATTTTGAGATTTTTCAGCAGTAAAGGACCTGGGGCATCTGACTATTTATGAATTTACTCTCTTAGAACCCTGATAATATGATTTTTGGCTTCCCTATGTATAACACGATGGGAAGAAACTTTTCATGGATACAGCAAACAGAGAAGCGTTCTTACTGTATTACTTGCCTGTTCCTCTTGTAGGCTTACAGTAGTCAGTAATACTTCAGTGATGGCAGCATCACATCTAGCCCTGGTAGTAGTTGCTCTCAGCTGTTCACATGCATGAAAGCTGAGATTAAAGTGTTTAGATGGCCAGTTTTAGGGTTCATATCTCTAAATGCCTTAAATTTGGGAGCTGATATGCTGTCAAGTTTTAACCTCAGTGACATGTCTGTGAAGAGCTATTCTGTCATATGGAGACTTGGCCAACAACCCAGTAACAGAAATTCGAATATCCAATTCCAAACAGATTCCTTTGTAGTGTTTCTCTGTAAAAGAACATGCAGACTAAAAATTGCAGTTTGAAAAGTGCATGTCTATCTTGATGATAACATCAGGAGTTTCTAGATATCTCTAATGTCTTACATCTACTGTTTAGCTTCTGTTTTACTTTTTAACATCAGATGAAAAGAAGGTTACTGCTTTGGGATTTAAAATGATATATGCAATACATGCAGATGAATGCTTAAATGCAAGTAATCTGTTTTCTTCAGATGTATTTTTTCTTTTCTGAGAACTTTATTTTAGGAGTTTTTGAAAGATGGAGTTCTCCTTGGGTATGGTAATACTCTTATGTATAGGGACATGAAAGGAAAACTGTTTCGTGTTACAGTTTTTCTTCTTGATTAGTCGTGATCTCATTTTTTTTCAGTTCCTTAGGTATTCTTTTATTATTAATAATTTTGTCTTACCGTTGGGATTTGCTAGCCAGAAGCTTTATAATATGAGAAAATTATGCTGTATTAGGAAGAGAATAATTACTTTATACATGTCATTTTCTACTTGTATTTTCTGGTTTTCATATTAGCGGTAGTAAGAAAGATCTAATACTGCAATGCTTTGAGAATTTAAGTGCACTTTTTTGCTTTAAAATGCCCTTTTGTCCAATAACTTATTTCAAGTCAGTATACAAATGAAGATCGTTCAGTGCCTCTGACTATAAAGAGGTGGTTCTGGTCGTTCTTGTGTGCGTCTTGGCTTGAGAGTCTTTCATGTTTTCCTTGGTGTCTTTTCTGCTTAGTCTTGTAACAGGGCAAGTGTATATCATACTTCTGAGTAGCAAGTTGAATTTGATTAAACTTAGTCATCTCATCTTTAAATTTGTGCTTGAAATGATGCACAGCATTCCATGACTGTGTATTCTTTTGATTTGTGCTTTAACAGTTCAGTCTTCGTATTACATTGATATTTTTGTACTTAAAATTAATTTGTTCTCTTTCAGCAGGTATAATCCTATGTTTCAACTCATACCTTCAATGATAATCTAATATGTTAGTGCAGCAAGCTTTTAAAACCATTTCTGGTGCCAAGCAGAAGTGATGCTGATGTCAACAGAATCTCCCACATCTGATGACCACACCATTCTTCAGGGATTCCCTGAATGTGAACCCTTTTGACTGTAATTGCAATACCTTCACTCCATTTCATACATAATCACCATCATCTGTCTAATATCTTATGTATGTTCCTTCACCATACTTACATCACTTTCTTTCTCCTTAAAAATAAATTTATTTTGTCACTGTGCACCTGTATATTGTTGGAAAAATTGTTTTTTAGTAGTGAGGAATTGCTATTTCAAGCAGTTTTAAAAATGCTTTGTTAGTGATAAGAATTGATTTGAGTTGCAAACCTAGTTATACTTAAAGATACGATGAGTGCTTTTTCATACTACTTTAACTTGTCCAGAGGAGTAATCCTCACATAGAACTGGTATAGTGCCTTTTTATGCCATTTGTTTTCCTTCAAACGATGGGAGTCAAATGTTTCATGGAGGTAAAAAAAAGTAGAGTGTGGTTTCACGCAGAGAACATTCTATCAAACTAAAAGCACAGTTATTTCCTGCTGCTGTGGCACAAATTGGGTATAAGACATGCAGTGAACTTTATTCCACTGTAAAAGTGCCTGTAAGCTGGTGGTTAAGTAATGAATGCTCCTTGAAAGTTGGATAAAACTCAGTTATTTGGGCTTGTGTCCCATTAGGAAACTGCTGAAGTAATCGAGAAAATCCTTGTCAGAATAGAATTGCATACCACTCAGGAAGTCTGGCTGTTCCTACCAACTGAATTCTCCTACTGTATGAAGTAACTTTACATGTTAAAATAGTATCATATTAAGTAATCAAACAGCTAATGTATTGTATATACTCTGCATTTGTACTCAACAGGAGAAATTGGGCAATTTGCTAATACTGCATGCAGTTACAGAAAAGATCTATAAAATGAGAACATTAGGATTTCTGTGCTTCACTGAATGAAATAATCAAAAGTAATGGTGTTTGAACAGATTTTTATTTTTTTAATTTCTGAGTCCCTTGATGGATGTTTTAATTTTCAAATGATAGTATGGTATTTGGAGAGAAACAGACTTTTGTAACTTCAGCTTTTCTGACATTATATTTAGGCACAAAAGCAAATTATTAAGCTAAAAATGTAGAATAAAGGCTACGAGTTTTTTCTCCAAAGATAAAATTTGGGTTTTCTTTGTCAGTCCTTTGTCAAAGGACATCATGTCAATACTATCAGGTTATAAAGACTTGTCACAGGACAGCTATATATTCATTGGAAATAGCTGTTTCATTGATTTTTGAAGACTGTAGGTTACTGGAGGGAGAATGCTCTAATTGCCCCGTTGAGATGTGAAGGTGATGATTTGGTGTGAATGGAAAAATGAGCATGACTGACAGACAGTTGGTCTCTTGCAAATTTTTAGTTGGAGAGTGTTTTGTTAAAGTACTGTGGAAATTCTGACAAAACTGGAGCACAGCATTCTTGGGAAGAGTGTGTTTAAACATAAATCGGCATAAGGTTTTATCTGGAAGTTTTACATTCCTACTAGCCCATTACACTGGTATCCTGGAGGTTATAATAGGCATTTGGCCAGATTCCATGCCAATTTAAACTCTGCATAAGCAGACTGATGGTGAATTTTTTTGATCTTCAACTAGGCTATCTACCCTAGGAAGTAATACCTACTGATTCCATAGAAATTATGCTTTAAGGTTATACTGAATAGGGTTCCTGCTAAAGATTATCTCTCCCATGAGATGACCAAACTGAAGTAAATCCCTGATGATGAGTATGGAAACAAGTCACAGGTGCAAGGTGGTGATAAAATGAATTTGCATTTGAATATGATCCCTGTCAGTATTTCATATTATATATGAGATCAGCATTTGTAAGTGTTAGATACGAGTAGTGTGTCTCAGATCTGAGGACATCTCAGATTTGATTGGTTTGGCTATGGAATGGTCTTAACAATTACCATCTGTTATAACATCTATTCATTTACTAACCTTTGTTGAACTGTTGTAAATGAAATCCTAATGTGGCTGCAATATGTTTATGGTGAAGGAACATGCCTTACCAAAACTTCAATTTCTGCATGTGACAAAAGGTGAAGGACATGATTCCTTAGTTGCTCGGTACAAAATGAACTTTGCTGTTGAAGAACTTCAGGAGATCTTTTGGGGCATTGGCTGTCACTTTAATGTTCAGCAGTTAAAACTGATTTTAAAAGTTTGCTGTGCTACTGTTATGACTGAAGGTCACGGATTTATTGAATTGTTCTTCATTTGGAACTTGAGGTGTTCTTTTGGTTGAAAATCCAGATAACTTCCATGAACAATGGCTGGAATTACCAGCATTGAATCTTTATGTATAATACTGATTATGCAGCATTTTTATTACTTCCGCACATGTTCAGTGCTTGGTGTTTAAAGGTAAGTATATGAATGGCTAGGTAGCCTGAGAAGAAATTGGTAAATCATTACCCAAGCATTGCACACGTAAAGCCTTTTGTGGTGGTTGTTCCCTGGAAGATTACATGACATAAAGGGGAATGTTGCTGAAGAACGTCTTAACATTGCAAACTTGGGTAATGATATTGAAAATGTGATGTCAACTTACTACTGGATCATCTTACTTAAAGGGATCATATTTGGAAGAAAGCTACATAGTTTTTGTGTCATGATGGGGTAGGAAAAGCCCAAATATTTTAAGTCAATGTGAAGTACAAATATGATTTTAAAAAAAAATATTTAGTTTTCAGATTAGTGGCTGGGTTATGCTGTGGCAATGATCTGCTATGCTTAAGATGGCATATTTATTGTTAAATTTCCGTAATTTATATATTGCATATTGCATACTGTATCACTACTGCCATTGACTGTGTAACCTGTCAAAATCTTTTACAGACTATGTGTCCCGTCTGTTTGGACCGTCTGAAGAATATGATCTTTCTCTGCGGCCATGGAACATGTCAACTTTGTGGAGACCGAATGAGTGAATGCCCGATATGCCGCAAGGCAATCGAACGAAGGATCCTTTTGTATTAAGTAGTGGAACCAGTGTCTTTTGTTAGCTTATGAAATAGTAAGGACATTTTGATTTAAATATCCCTAAATTTGAAAGGCAGTAAAGGGTTCTAATGAAAACATTTCTAATACTGTAGCACAGGTTCATTACATGGTAATTGTTTAATGACTGTGAACACACCAAATAAGAGAACAGTATTTGAACAGTCACCTTTTAGCTTTACTCTTAAAAAACCCTCTAAACCTGAAGCTAGTTTGAAGCAATCTTTTTTTTCATTTTCTTTCTGCCGCCTTCTTCCCCTTAAAGTTTAAAGGGACAATCTTATTTTGGTTTCGTTCATGTTTTTTAATGTATCTGTCAGGTGTCAAGTGATGGAAGGGGTCTTTTTTTATATTGTCAGTTAATATCAAATATATTTAGATTTTTTTGGTTTATGCTTTCCTGGAGAATGGTGAAATTTCTGGTGACAGTTACGATTCACAATAATTTCTGTCTTAAAGTATGCAAGAATGCAAAATCAATACAAAGTATGTACACATAGTAGTAATAAGTATACTGTTCCCATAAGATCAGGCCTCAAAATACAGTGTTAAGGTAATTGTAACTTTATTGTGCCCTTTGCTGAGGATGGGTTGGGAAGGAAACAGTAAAAAGAAAAGTTTAGTCCCCAAACTGTACTTTAGTCTAACAGGTTCAAGCTAACTTAAACAGCAAACTTCTTAATTCTGCTAGCTACGTAGTTTTGTATGGAATTGCTTTTAACTTGACTGGAAAAGAAAACATTTGAGCAGTGGGTCAGTTATCCATTCAGATGAGTGAATTTGGTCAGTTGTAGAAAAACATATATATGTGGGGCCATTTAAAAATTCTGGGTCTATGAATTAGGAAAAACTAGAGATTTTGTAAGATTTCATCTCTTAAATTAGTTTTATTGTCTCCGGGCAAATAGTGTCAACAGCAAAAGAGAAGATTTAATATTGCTTATTCATCTAAGTTGGGTGTTAACACCAGAATTTATCTGTGAATGTTACTGGGTAATACTGCAAATGAAGACGTTGCTGACAGAGCAGTGAATTTTGTGACCCGTGCCTAGGTGAGTTGACGTTGGCTGAAGGAGTTAGCTATCACCAGTGTGACAGAGATGTTTGTGACCCTGAAAATGCTACTGTCAGGAACTGCAAACTATTAACATTTTGATAACAAGTACATTCCTCTGTCTTTTTGGATGGAAGAAAGTATACTGATTTAAGGATCTCTTGTAGCTAAAAGGAATGTGTGCTTACCCCTGAATGATTCAACAGTTTTTTGAGTGCATAGTTTATGTAGCCCTTTGCCATTGTGCAGGCTTCATTTGGATGTGCACTTGCAGAACATTAAAGAAATCCGTGGTGGAGTCACTTAGGTGCCTTACTTGTGGCTAAAATCAATTTCTCATTTAAATCTCATTGCGTATGTCAAAAATGTGGAAAAGGGCATAGTTCAGTGGAAGATCCAAGTAAGGATGAAGGCATAAAATTGTGATCTCTTCAGATAAATCGATCTCAGGCTTTTGAAGCTTATGTTGATACACCTGAATTGTACAAACATTGGCAAAAGTCTTAGACGTTACTAGTAAACTGTTAAGATAGGTGAACTTTTAACCAGTAAGGTGTAAACACTGAATAGAATTTTCCAGGAAAAAAACTAGTGATATATTGGAAAAATATATGTAGAATGGCTTTTAACGTAGCGAAGTGATGTAATGCACAGCCTTTCTATGGCTGTCTTTAATCCTGATCCAGAATTGGAAATGTTCCTCATTCTTTGCAGTTGTATTTCATTGGACACAATCTCAATCTGGAGTCAGTATTTCATTTTGTATACTAGTAGTCATCTGTTCTCAGATAATCTGTGTATCTGTCATCTTAGCCAAATGAAATAGCCCTTCCTTTTCTTGCTTCTTGCGTCACTGCTCTAAAATACCAAGATTTCAAGGAACTTCAGAAAGTTTTTGATACAAGGCTTTTTTTTTTTTCAGTTCAGCATTTCACTATCTCCACTTAAGCTCTGAGCAGACGTGAGTGTTCACTGCAATTTTCTTTCGGACAATATACGTGTCACTAAGTTTGATTTTTTTTTTATTTTTATTTTTTTGTAGCGTGTTTCACAGCTGAGCTTTCTATAGTAGGCTTCAGTTTCCTGTCAGTCTGCCTCTAAAAATAATTTCGTGATAGGATGTGCCATTTGACAATCCATTCTGAGTCTTAGCCTGTAATGCATCAGATCTGTACCTTGGTTTCCTCTGGCTCTGGTAGACATATTTTGAATATTGTGTCCTATTTGTTCTTCAAGGGGACCTCTATAAACTGTTGTCAGCACAAAGGCAGGGTGGATTTCTTCTTGATAATGCAGCTCAAAACTGAAACCTCAATATGGCAGTTGGCATTTTCCTAGTTCTTTTTCACTGGAACAAGGCAGAACTACTTGAAAGTATTCCAACTTAGCATCAGTTGAGTAATTCAGCTGAATAAGAATTGATGTAAAGCATCCTGGGTGGGAAACTGGAGTTGAATGCTAAATACTCCTTGTCTGCAGGAGGGACGTTTTATAGCGTGGATGGGTAAGTGCTCTGTTAGTCTTGTACTTGTCAACAGAGAAGCTGTAAGTTACTTCTGTAAGACTCCTAATACTTGGATGCCATCATAGTCCTATGGAAATAGAGACAATGACTGGAGGTATCGCTATAGCAGCAGCCTTAGTCTTCTGTACTGTAGTCACACCGAATGTATGTGACTGCGTACGAGTTTGTGATTGGACTCATTCGGCAATGTTATGTGCCAGTTGAAATGAAGGTGTGTCAGCTATTAAGGTGCCACAGAAACAGCAGAATTAGAAAAACTAGGTAAGCTACAACATACTTGAATAATTAATATAGACCTCTTATTAACAGGTGAAAGAGCTGTATCTTGTATTGAGAAGGCTACACAGTGCTTGCCTTTCAAAAAACTTAATGAGGAAAAATGTTTGCAAATCCAGTATCATTTCTGGAAATAAATATTTAGATTCACACACTGTCTTTGGATTCTGATGTAGAGGATAAACTAGTGTTGAAGAAGTTAGTAAGCTCATTAACTCTATTTACTCTGGTATCATCTGTGCACAGAGTGCAAGTATTTTAATTGGGTAACACTTAAATAATCAAAGGATGAAAAGCAGAAGCTCATTTGGAAGCCAAAGGGGATCATAACAAATAGGAGAGCTGAGGATATGTCATTGTGCCTCTGTCTTTAACAAAAGAGGAAAGTGTAAATATCATTATTGTCACTATTATTAGGGAACAAAGTGAAAATGAGAGAAAAATCAGTGAGGCATTTATCTCTAATATACTGTAAAAAATGAAATATAAGAGTCGCAAGCTTTGTTTATTATGATTATCCCCCAGTATTTAATAGCGGTTTTGAAATGAAATTGAATAAAATACCTGTTTGTTTCTTGGAACAGAAGGCACCTAATAATACATGTTCTTCAGGTATGAGGTATACTCAAATGTTTAAGTAAAACAGTTTTCATTTTTTTCAGTGTAGTAAAATACGGAAAGAATCACATCAGTAAGCAGTGATTTAGAGTGTAAAGGCAACCTAAGAGGCTAACAGAATATGCTAAGTAGTTGTAGCTTGTTAACTTCTGTATAACTATGTTAGATTTTTTTTTCCCCTCCCAAACTTACCGTCTGTCACTTATTATAGCCCAAGCTCATGTGGCACTTCTCAAAATTTGGGCTATTATTACCTACTTTCCATTTGTTGAAATACTGTGTGTGTGTATGTTGGGGTTTGGAGGAATCCCTTTTTGCTGACATGGATGCTGAAAATTGCCCTGGCAAGAGACTAAACCAGTTACTTTGTAAATGTGACAGTTTGATTAGGAGGTGGTGGTCTTAACTTGGACTGGGTGAGGATATAGCAGATTTGCACAAGTACTTGTGCCTTGTTAGCATAGTCTTACAATCGGTATTTTAGCTTCTTTTAAAGACGTGAATTAGTCTTTTAAAATAACCTGATTTAAGTACTTATTGTGTAGATATTTTCTAGAGATGAAGTTTTATGTATGCCTGATTATTTTTAGCAGTATAATTGCAGTTTGTGTAAACGCTAAATTGTTTGAAGAAGCTGCTTTGAGCTAGTGGTCTGAGCTTCTGCTTCAAAATTAAATGTCAGAAACTTAATTTTACTCTTCCAGTAGCAGCTGGTGAACTGAAGAGCCTATCCTGTTCTTTGTGCTGCATGGGTCAAGTTTTCACTTAAAAAAACCCCAACAACACTACAGCCTAACTCTTAACAGTGCTACCTCCTCTCTGTCAAAGTACTGAATTCTTCTCTAGTTCTTTGTCTTTGGGAAGGGATGGGGAACACATCGGGTTTGTTTTGCTTCATCAGTTTTGATGTCTGAAGACATTGCAAAGGTTTTTTACTGACTGTATAAATTAGGTACAGTAGAAGCGTGTGATTTGCCACAATGTACATTATATATCGTTTTTGTGTAAGTTGCTGGAGTCCGTACTGTTGTCTTTTTATGCATTTCATAACTTGTGTTGACAAAGCAAAACTGTTATCTGCTGAAGTTTTAGTATGTGCCATTTTTATAGCTAAGCCTGTGGTAAATATGAAAGTTCTGACTCAGGGCTTTTTAACAACTTTTCATAATATTCTTCAGCACATCTTGGAGAATATTGGAGATTTAATGACTGTACAGTGCCTTGATAGAACTGTTGAATGGGCGGCAGCCATAGAGTCCTTACCGAATGCAAGTATCTTTTGAATCCAGTTAATGAGTTGATGTTAATATAATTGTAATACCCCTGCCATGGATTTATAAACTTGTATATACTTTCTGTAAAGGAAAATTGACAAATTTAGTTATTGTTAGGCTTTCGGAAAGTTGTTTGATTGTTGCACCAGTCATGGGGGTCGAAGGACATAGTATTCCAATTTACAGAGGCAGCATTAGTGGCAAAGACAGCTGACAAAATGCTCTGTACGTGACATTTTTAGTGTGAGGGGATAGGTCATTGTATAAACAAACATGTAAAAATATCTGCTTTACTCTGGCCCGGTAAGTCTTTTATAAGAGAGAGAGAGAAATACTTGGGAAGAAATCTGTATGTTTGCATGCCATGTCGTAAGTACAAAAATTTAAGTCTCGTTTTG